TCTCATGCAGTCATGTAATAATTCAATTTTTCAACATTTTAACTTTTTTCTTGGAATCATTAATGATTTTTCTTATCTCAGTCGACAAATCCATGGCTTGTTTGAGTTGTGAATATAATCAGCAAGAAGTAATTTGAATGCAAATTTGCTAAACTTTCATGTGTGCAGAAAGGAATTTCAAGGAAGCTTTCTTACAATATTTTCACCTCCGAGCCTTTCGTTGGCTCGCTTTTTATTCTTGAGAAAATGGGAAAATAACGGCCATTTTAAACAACTTATCGTGACTCCACCAAGTTCAGCGATACTCTCAAGTTTTAATTTTCGTAATTACGGGATAAAAAAAAAAGGGGGGGATATTGTTTTAACGATGATTGAGTGACGTGGCGTGGTTCCATTAATACCTTGTTTTTCCATGATTTTCCTACAGTACTCCATCGATTTTCCCGTTGACAGTTTTAACCCAAGTACGCAATGTTTTTACTCGCCTTATTTGTATTGCGTCTGTGGACTGCCTGATCAAAACATTTGGGGATCGGATACAGTTGTTCATCTAATCGACCGCAGAAAGATTTAATATCCCATGACCGGGGAGTCATCCGGGAGTGGGAGTCATGAATTCATGGGGCGAACAATGCGACCTGTCAGGCGAATTTAGTCGTAAGCTTTTGTAATAAAATCGGCTCATTGAGCCTCGGGTCAACAATGGGTCGTGTGCCCCAGCGGAGATATTTCGGTTAAATGTCTGGGCCAAGGGTCATTTGATACTTATTTTCGGGTGATTGATAGATTCATGTCAATTCTGCTTATTTCATTTTATCTTTGGATGACCTGCAGCTCCGCTCATCAATTTGTCACTTTTTTTTTCTAGAACGCATTTTTCACGAAGTATTTTTTTCTAGAAAATTATTTATTTATATTGAGAAATTAAAAAAGTGAAAATTTATTTTTTCCTTCTTATAAATAAATAAAGAAAATAAATAAATATAAATAAAATTTTTAATTCCCTTTTTCCAAGGATAAAAGGCCTCTTTTTTTTTTTAAATAATTGAACTGCAATTATGCAATATTGCTCTGAATAGGTGCAACAATTATTCGTGTAACACGGAATTATAAATACAATCCTCTCCTATGAGTATTTTCGCCGCATTGGGGGGGGCGAAATTTAATTATGCCAGACCCAACAATTGTTCCTCGCATTTGTCTAATTGAAACCTCATTTTTTCATTGTTAGACCGAGGCATTTGTTATAACCAGCGCGGTCAACCATTATAAACGCCTTTTTTCCTGAAAAGCGCTCGACTGCCTGTGGAAAATTCGCTGTACAGCGTGGATTAATTAGTGATGAATTACGTGTAATTTTTCTCCTTTTGCGGATTGAGGGTAATTAATAATCGTCTGTAACCCAAATAAGCAAGATTTGCAATTTATTTTATAAAAAAAAAAATCCCAAGTTCTCGTTGAAAAACAACTAGACCACCGACACCCAAAAATTGTTAAAAATATGCATTAAAAATCCGCAAAGCGACTTTATCATGAGCAACCTCAAGTATTAATTATTATTTCTTCATTATTTTGCCTGATTAATGTTTATTAAAATCTGACAACTTAAATCACGCGTTAGCGAATTAAAAATTAATTAAACAAAAAAATGATTGTCAAGTCTGAGGGTTGATTTCGACGCTGCGAAGGGTTGAATACCTGTAGGTAAAATTGAAAAATATCCCCAGGTGAAGAGGTTCAAGGTATGTCCGTCAGATGTCAGTCTCAGACCTTCTGTACCCTTTTGAGAGAAATCGGCAAAAATTTTCTGACCGAAAAAATTTTCCACGACCCACCAACGGCCATCACTTTGCATTTTCCAGCTCATACCATTTCCTCGTTGGTATCTAGAGCGATTACGATAGCATTTGTAGAAACAACAGTCCCACTCGCAGCAGATAAAAATAACGCATATAACAAAAACAAGTATATGTCATAATAATTCTCCCGATGGAAATAACGGGTCATTTAGCAAATCGTTGAAATTGATTGACAAATGATCCAATTGAGAATAATTCGGGTTAATAAATGTCCTCAGTCTCCGTAATGAATCGTTGACACACTCCGTCTCATTCCGGCCCATTACCTTTTCGCTTCATTACCCGATTCTTTAAAAAACATGAAACATTGTGCACGAAATTCCACTTGGCCCGTCACTGACCATCATCAATGCCGGTTCTCGAAGTCATTGCGTGATGTGTGCGTTTGTTCCCCCGAAATGCCGTGTTCAACACCATTTTCGTTAGCCTCCTGTTTTTATTTTCAGACCTTTGAAATTTCTCGTGACAACGGTATCACACATTAACTGCATTCACCATCTAAATTGAGAGACAACCAATTCCGATGTTTTTGGATTACAAACTAATTCCATTCATTTACCCATTCGAATTGTCCTGTTCCCCTTTCAATTCCCTAAATCATAAACGTTCATTTTCTTGCACGTGAAATGAAGAATTACTGAATCTCGACGGAATGAATAAATTGAATTGATTCGGTATCAATGACCCTTTATAATGAAATATTCATAATGATATTGTGGGAGTCGAAGAAAAGACGAATCTCGCGTGTAACCACACAAGAGCCCCTGAAACGGTAGCGGTTTGGATCACGTGTATGTCTTCATGTGCGTGAAATGAGTTCTTAACGCGGAGTTAAAATTCGGTAAACCAGTGTGTAATGTATGGTTATAAAATGTGCAATGGGGAAATGCACAAAGCCCTTTATGCTTCTTCATAATGGATGAAAAGAAAAATAAAATGAGGAGTGTAATGAGGAGGGATACATTATTCATATGCATAACGATTTTCTTTCTTCCTCATTGGCATCGCAAATTCCTGCAAATAATCGGCAAGTATTGAAATTGCATACGTCGAAGGATAGGTGAAGAAAAAATAGTCTCTCATGGTTGGTACACGTGTCAGTTTTATTCTCGATTGATGTGTTCTATCGTGTTATTGGTATCGTGTCTGCATTCGATGGTACTCACGGAATTGACTTCAGATAATAAAAATGTGTCATGTGGGATGGAACCGTCGATTGTCACCAGGTGAAAACTGGTATTGTGCACGAAATTCAAGGAGAATTCCTTCTGGCAATATCTTCTTTTGGATTTCGCTGAATTCAATATCGATTTTACAACGAATTCTAGATATTCCGTTTCTTTTATAAATCATATGAAAATTTTTCACTGAAATTTTTGATGGAATTCATAATTCAAACTGCCTTCAATCGTTCAATTGAATTCAATACCAATTCATCTAATTTCATTCACTTGGGAGCGGCAATAAAATGGGGTTTCTTCAAAAAAATGAAAAGCAGGTGATCCCTGCGTGATTGCATCGGCAAATGTCACGACCAAATTACGACGTCATAAAAGAGATGATGATTCCCCTAAAAAGACAAGAGCACCAACTCGATCTTCGAGCCTCCACTAAAATCGAATTCCCTGAAGAAATGTCCAAACAAGCTGATATGATAAATCATCATATCACATCATCAAAAATACCGCACGTGATCGAATCCTGATAACCCCCATTGAACCGTACGACAATTCCCCAGAACCTGAAACAACTCATCTCCCCATCTCCAAAGGCAATCCAAGCCCCATCACCAGGACAGGATTAACCCAGTGATCGGCGTTGAAGCGGGAAAATCCAGAAAAGGGGATGCACTCTTGAAATGAAACCGGAGAAATAGGCTGGAATCTGGTCTAGAGTGAGAGAACCCGATGTGTATCGAAGCAAAGCCGGCGTTTAACCGCCAGTGGCGCCATGCTGCCTCCTCCATTGGTCATTCTCCCGGTGTTGTGGGCGTGGTCACCCCCTGAAGAGCCCCAGCGTGGGGATAAAGTTGACGCTGAATCCCCGTCTGAAGTTGTGGAAGTGGTGGTACCGAACAGAGGGGGTAAAACTCATACCAAAGGTTGACTCCAGGTTGTTATACCCAGTTGTACCACTCCACCACCACCAACAACAGCTCTATCCCTTCCACCGGTGTGTTGTTGTGCCCCGTATAGTCTTCATCGGGGATCTATGCTGCTTGGGTCCCCTCGACCAACGCCTGCCAAGCCGGTACCAGTACACGACACGCTTCTAAGAGGCGAACACCGTCGTACCTACATTCCGAGTTATTTTCATTTTTTACGTTTATCTCCGTCAATGCATCAATCAGGACTACTCACAACAGTGGGAGGATTCTGATTACCCCCCTCCCCACCTCCCACCCCATCCACAAACCCCCGTTGTTGCTCAGCCACAAGAAGAGAGCCAAAATCAGTGAACTGATGAAGTATCAGTTGATGATATCAAACACGTGATGTGACACTTGTCAGTGAATTGCAAAATCGGTTACCCAGATGTCTTCGGTGTTTTGTGATTAATTGTGTGAAAGATTAGGACTGTTTTTGGCGGGATAAAGATTTGTCCGACGCTCTGCTGGATATCACTGAGTCATTAGTGCTAAACTTTGGATACGTTGTTGTTGTTGTTAATGTGAACAAGTGACATTGACCAGTGATTATTGGAGTTTAGTGATAGCTGTGATCAGTGTGACTGGTAGATCGGCTGGTGAAGTTGATGAGCGTGATTTGTTGTGATTGTGATAATTGGATTTCATGGGAGAGCCTGGTTCTTCTGATTGGTGAGGACGGGATTCTTTCAACGGGTGGACAATATTTGTCACCACTGGGTTTTATTGAATTCAATTAAACTGTCACCAAGTACTAGACTAGATTTACCGTCGTCGCTGCACAATCAGCAGACGTACCGACGGTCATCAACGGTCATCGATGATGACGTAAATATTGAATTAGAGGATATTGAGAGGAGAGGTGTTGCCCTACGCACGGTGTACACCCTGGACAGAAGCGCAACGGGGCTGGGGGTGGTCGGGGGTGTTGTAGGTGGTGGTAGTGGCGGGGGTGGTCCGGGGGTTGTTGGAATCTGCGGACCACCTACCGGTTCACTAACGCCGACGGATTATGTACCCGCGGCTTGCTATCCACCCGTCTCGACCATTACCCTCACAACTGGTGGTAATCATCCTCAGCCCCCTGGTGTCATTGATAATATGACACCTACATCAGCAACTGGACCAGCACCACCAACGGGCCCCAACAATCCCGTTGCCATGAGCCAACTCGGCACTGTCTACGCCACCAAGAGGAGACGGAGAAATGGAAAGAGGTGAGTCCCTATTCGTGATTTAAAAAATTCACAAACACCTTTGACAAATCATTTTTATTACCTGTGAATGAATAACCTTGAGGCGCTTGCACTTGCCGATATGACCCATCGGTAATTATTTAACGGATAATTCATGGTAATTGCTATCGGTTCACTTGCGTATCTCGAATGAATTCAATTGGTCTATTAATTACGACGAAAGAAACCAACAAATCTCATGAGCAATACGCGTTGGAAAATTAGCCGGCTCGTATGAAAGAAATTCTGCTCGTGCGTAGTGGTCGTAAATCGCAAACCAGTAGCGATAATAGGGGAATCGTAACGGACAGATAGTAATACACTTAAACTCCTGTAATATGTAGTTGCTAGCCAGTATCTTGGGTAATGACTGTTGAAGAAGAGTGCACCAGGTTTGTCTTTATGATGCCGATATTGAGAATGAACGGAAACCAGTCGTCTGGGGGATATTGGCAAGTATGTGGCAAAGAAAATAAGTTGTCCGTCGCATCTGGCGTACATTTCATTGCTCGAATCACCAAGTGCTGCTCAAGTTTATTCTTTGAGTTATGTAAACACTAGAGTATGATCTTACTTGGTATTTTTTTCAGTGACGATTAACCGGAGTTTTCAATCGGTGCTTCGAGGCCAATCGTCTTGATAAGATTTCAAATTGCTGTCTGATCGTTTCTTTCGTAATCTCTTCTGGTCTTGCTCGTTGCGACAATTTTCTTGCGTGCAACTTCGCTTCTTTAGTGTACGTACATAGGAAACCTTTTCGTGCAAACGAGCGGTGTAATTGTTGGGGTTAAATGTTGTTAGGAGGTGATAAATGAATTTTAACGCGCAAGAGGATCAAAATCTTCAGCGAAATGATGTTAATATAATAATTATTTAGATTTTGATTTTTCAGTGGGAAATGATAATATTAATTTTGTTGGAATCGCTGCTAGTTTAGGTGAGTCCGTTTCTGAGCTTGTTAACTAACAATTATTTTCACTGGTGAATAATTTAAGGGAGATAAGAAAATTCATAGAAGTCGTTGCGCTCTCGCTGATGCCTCGACCAGTTGAAAACCGCGTCCACGTGTCAATACTACCACGCGGCAAATAGTCTACCTGTACTTTCGTTAATTATAGGTAACTACCGTTGAAAAATAATGCTAGAAAGACTAGGTGCATTATCGTACCGCAGTATTACGAAGGACCTCGGACTATTTATTCTTCATTATCACGTGACAAGTCAATGACGAAAATGTTGTAATTAACATTTCACCGAAGCAATAATTTCAGGATGAGTTAGTCTTAATAAGATCATTACATTATTGCTTCATTAGGACCGATTATTGAAGAAATCCTTGTGATAATTCGAGGTGTCCGGAATGCCCAGCGTCCAGTGTGAGCATCAGAATTCCTGTGGCATCTCAGACCAACTGATACTTATTTAACAAGAAGTTCACCGCAGGGTAACGAGTGCATTCGGGATTCTGAGGTGGTTCTCAACGAGTTGAGGTTCATCCTATCTGTCTCACGTTTTCACCTCCATCTGGCTGGATATTTTTCTCCTTCAAATTCCCCACGCCCTTTGTGTTTTGCTCGGTGGAGAGTAAACGCCTCGAGCTAAGATTTCGGTCCCTTAGTCCAGTGGTTTGTCTAGCTCACTCTTACCACTTGTTAAATCCACTGCCCTACCATTTTAACGCAAAGTAAATCGAGGAGGGGTGGAGCGGGAGAGAGGGGGGTTTGTGCAAAATCACTGTTATCCGTGAGTCAAGTTCACTCTCAATGACTGTCTCGGAATGCAGATTTCGGCCTGCCAGGGGTAATTAGAGGTGAAGTACTCGCAGTGAGGTGGGAGAGGGGATCGGGGAAATCGGGGCGGGGGGTTTTTCTTTTTTGACATGTGATGGATTTTCCTCCGATGGACAGGACTTCGGGGAAGCTGTCCCCTGGAAAGAGGGGAGTCTTTCAGCTAATAACAGCGAGCTTCTATAATTTGGAGTTTTCGAGGCGAACAGCCAAATTGCTGGCGAATGCAGGAATTACTGTTATTATAGGTACACACGACTACGGGACTCTTTCTTTTCCATGTTTTTTTTTTTGGAGGGGCGGGGGAGGGGGACTTTTCAGTCTTTGCTCCGAGTTTTTAGGTTTCGGGTGAATAACGCACATTTTTTTCTCGGTGATTACGCTCGGCTCAGCTGTCAATTGTTGGCGATTTTTTTAGCGAATGGCTTTGTTTTTTTTTTTTTTTTTTAATAAATTTTTCCGGTTTAGAGAAAGTGTTTTTTGGGGGGCGGTAGAAGTAAATTAGAAATCGTTCCGGTTTAGTCAATTTTTTTGGCGCAGATGTCGAGTTGGCCAGTTCCGTGTTTCACGTTCATAAAGAAAAAGAGTTGGGGCACATAATGCAGACAAAAGGGAGTTTTGAAAAAGGAATAACTGAAAGTAAATGGAGGCCACATAGTGGAGACGCGTTTTTGAAGCCGTCGGAGGAACGGGCGTTTGGGATGATTAGTTCTTAAGTAATTACCTTAGAGTCCTTATGGGCTTATAAAGTCACTTTATGACTCTGTGATGAACCTGTTTCTAGAAGAGCCAACGCCGCAATAGTCTCCGGCTGTTTTATAAATGTCCCGAGGAGGGAATGGGTGATGAAGAAATTTTTTCAACTTTTCGAAGTAAAAACAAAGTCAATCAGGAATGCCAAATGAACAAGAGAATAATTGCAGAGCCCGTGCAATTATCCGCGGATTCGGATTTATTTCCGACAGATCAGCTCTAAGAATTATTTCGAACAGTTTCACGATATCGGTTTAAAAGGGTTTATTGGATGGAGTCATAACGAAATGATTGTGCGCCGGTAAGAATTTATGCCGCAGGAAAGCAACCGGAGGATTCGAGGAATGAGTGTGCACCACGTCGCGGAGGGAATCCGCGTTTTTCTTTCCGCTGCCCCAGGGCTTTACTGAAAATAAGAGTTAGCAAAAAAAAAATCTTTATGCCACTTAAATAACTTTTATTTGTCCTCGCGTCGTAATTGAGCCATTAATTGGTGTGAATTTTTTTTAATTACATAATACTCAATAATTCACTATTGTCTCATCTATGAAATTAATTGCGCGGTTAATTCATTTTTTTTATACGATATTTTGCTTTCTCTTGGTTTTAGTCCACTCGTTTTTCCTTTTATTGGGGTCCATTCGCTGAATTCGGGAGCCCTTGTTCATCTTCTGCTTCACAGTTTTTCGATGAAGGTCTCTGATAAAAAAAATCGGTTGAGATTCCGGGGATTCGCGAAGCAGAAGTAAATGAAAGCGACGTACCGACGCTGAAAACGAGGAAGGAAGTTCTTTTTTTTTTAATTCAACGTGAGAGGACATCTCGCACGATGGAGAGATGGTTTTTTAACTTCTACATTTGCCCGAGTACATGGTGACTTTTTCTTACTCCAGAGTGTGCCATTTCCGGTTACCAGGAGACCTACATTGTCATTATGTCACCCTGGCCTGTCATTTCGTCTCATTCTCTTTTATTTTTTATTTTCGGTATTTTATGTGTCTTTTTTTCGAGGGCATCCGTTCTCTCCATCTGTAGAATGTCGTTGAGACACCTTGATGAGCGTGATTACTCCAACTATCTTGAACTTTCCACTGCAAACGAGTGGGCGGTTTTACAACTGCTTTTATTTGCGATTTATCACAAGTTTTGTTGATGAATTTTACAGAAATACCATATTTTCCACATGCCACTTTGATACTTCCCTAAATAGTGCTGTTTATCAAAATATTGTGGGAAAGTAATCCAAGGAAAATCTCAGGTCACGAAAAACTCAACGGAAGTTGCGCAGTCGACCGCTTTGGGGGGAATAATCACCGCAGTCATGTGCACATGAAAAAATTCTAGTGTTGCTCTAGAAAAAATGAGTAATTCCTCTATATATCACCATATATCAAATATTCCAATAGTAAAAATTAAAAAATAGGTTTGATTTCTCCTCTGAGTGGCAAGTGGATTTTTCCCGATTCACTATATACCTGTATATATAAAATTTTCGTTTATTTTCATCAATTGTTTTATTGATTGAACCCTGGGTTCAGTGATCGCTCTATATCCCTCAATTATTTATCTGGTTTCCCATGGGATTTGCATACATCCTGGGCGTAAAAACATAGAGTGAAATCGACTCAATGCCGTATGTGGTTTAATATCGAAAAGTAGGTAGTGACTAAAATTCAAGCGCCTCCTCTGCTAAACACAGGTTATCCCAATTCTGACCGGCTTATTATACCCGTGCCCTTAGCCTCAAATGTATTCCAAAATTCGTGGAGGAGTTTTCATCATTTCGTCTTTCGGCTGAATTAATGTACAGTGGTTTCGTGATGTACGGGGAGAGCGATGTGATCCAATGGCGGGTATGCAAACGAGATCGAAAGGATTTTTTTCCCAAAGACTTTTCAAAGTCATCCATTTAATATCCGAGAAGATTTTTCGCAATTCATTTTTTTATTTTTTTTACAAATTCCATGAATTTTATCGCGTTAAAATGTTTTTTTTTTCAATTTTTCAAATTATCGTTTAAATGTCAAAAATGAAGGAGAAAATTTTTATTTTAATTCACATCAAGATCTTGACGATTTTTGGTTGTAAATATTTTTTTCACGACAATTGGTTGAATAATAATTGGTATATTTTTTTGTTTTGGTTTTTTTTTTATTTTTCTGCATTTCACGAAATTCTTGATTTTATCAGTTTTTATCAGCAAGCTCAGTAACTGCTAGACGTACATTGACAGTGGCATATGAACCACGTGAGTCACAAAGTTGGTGGTTTTTTTGCAATTTATCCAGTACCTTCGACTGAGTACTGCGTCTGCTTACGGGCGTATCATTACCCCGCCCAGTGGCTAGCTCCGAAGATTACACGTCTGCGTATATAACCCAGGGTACACCGCTGGCTTCTCTCTGCATTCGATGCAAAAGCTTTTGAATATTAGTAAGAACC